GATAAAAAAGCAAGCTAAATGACAGTTTAAACATAGTAGTAGATGTGATTTATTTTGGGGGGGGACGTGAACATAGTAGTAGATGTGATTTATTTTGGGGAGGAGCGTGAACCAGCACACTTTTATCATATTTTAGTATCACAAAAAATGACGTCACATCCTGTTTACGCAAGAAATAAGGCTCTACAGACGGGGGTACCGTAACATTGACTGTCCAGATTTTTCAAAAAATTAGATCAGTGTGAAAAAAGGAAGTGTGCTGGGTCACATTTGCATGTCATGTGACATGAAAAAGATAGAAGGTGCAGCAAAAACAATGTTCTTGCAAACAGAGTTGTAAAACTTCAACAGAAAATCCGTTGGCTAAATAGATCAAAAAGCAAGCTAAATGACAGTTTAAACAGTATCCGGCAACGTTTCAAAGATTTCTTGTACATCTGCACCGGCTAAATGAAGTAAGATAGCACTTTTCTGCTTTCGATCAGAGATACCTGAAGCTCAAATATAATAATCTAGTGACTTTGTCCATTTTTCCCAACTTGTGCCAAGGAGCTCGTGTCAGATACAACAAAGGGCTGAATTGCAGGTAAATCAAGGACCTTTGCCATTGATATGAGTGTTGCTAGACTCTAGTGCGTTTCTCTTTTTCTTTTTTAGTGCAAAGTTTGAGAAACTTTGCAGTATTGTGATGAGTGGCGAAAATTCAAACGAGTCAGTAAGTCAGTCAGTCAGACAGACAGACAGTCAGTCAGTCAGTCAGTCAGTCAGTCAGTCAGTCAGTCAGTCAGTCAGTCAGTCAGTCAGTCAGTCAGTCAGTCAGTCAGTCAGTCAGTCAGTCAGTCATAGTGTAAACTTTACGGGGGTTAGGTTGATTTATGCATATAGTCACTTTTTGTGTATGATCAGTAATTTAAGGTTTATAAATCAGTTTAACTTGCTTTATTTATTAATGCACTATACCCCTTTTGCAAAGTTCACCAAAATATTGAGGGATTTTGGCGGTTACTGTAAATTTTGAAGCATTGCTTTTCAGCGGTTTGGGTTTTGTTTTAAAGGGATTTGCACAGAATTACCCCCCGAAACACCCGATTCTTTCTTACACGTCGCAACTGCGCATGTGCCGTAGAGACTTGAACATTATTCACGATGTAAAGAAACAAGGAGCAACGAGCATTGCTTCAAAACATTCCGGGCGTAAAAATCGAGCAATTTATTGAGAATCTACGCACTTTATCAACTTATGTTATGAATTACAAGCATTCAATTCAACACAAATATAATTTGGAAGGTTTATTCCATAAATAGAGCTAAGAGGTTAGGAAGAAACGATGCTGTGTTGTTTAATATGTATTGATAGACTCTTACACGAATGTATATTATGTCGATAGCAAGTCGATACCTGGTATTCTGCATACAGTACATAAATGATACTATACAAAACGGACATTTTGTGCAGTAATCAAATCATTTTGGCGGTATACAGTATTGATTATAAGTATATTGTTTTGTATCGATTTACGCGTCGAAGTATCCACATCATATACATAATATGCACCGCGGTCTATTTACATTATTTACAACGCAACTATTTTGGCTATTCTTATGAAGTGACGGATAAATTGTAGCCATCATATAAATGTAGTGAATGTAGTCACAGTTGTTTGACGAAAGAAAAGAGACTACACTGAGAAAATCGCGCCCGGTTTGGCCGGTTTACATGGGCAACTAAAATTAGCTATAACTTAATAGTGACAGTATCCGCGGCTAACGTAATTTGAGTACTTTGAGTAATTTCCTTTTGATTAATGTTTAACCTAGTTCGTTATATTTTTACTGGCATAAGTCAAAATGTCTATGTTGGGACAAACGTCTGGTTGCTTAGGTATTACAGGGCATGAAAACTTTGCACTATCCTTGGATCCCTAGTTTTTTAATTATTATCCTTGTCGCCAGTTATAGTATTCTTTTCCTTGCTTTATTTACTATGCTTTTTCAAAACCCTCTCTCTCTCGCTTCCCCAGACTTCCATGTGTTTTCCCACACGTGATTGATACGTCACAAACACTACAATATCTATATTAGTTCATTAAAATTTAGGTCAATTAAAAAAAAGGGATAAGACAGTGTATTAATTGATGGGTGTGGATGGCATTCCAGTGTATGTGTAGACGAAAAAAATTCAATTAGTGTCAAAAAAGAGCACGCCACAAGTTATGATACTAATTAATATTAGTTCATTATATTTACCAAACAAGATTAACACTTTGACTGCCAAAGACGGAAATTTCTGTCTTTTGGTTCCCAACTGTTTACCGCCAAAGACGGAAATTTCCGTTTTTCAACGATTTTGTCATACAAGTCACACAGCTATCCCGAAGTGTACCCTGGAACTCCAGGATGCCTTGTTACATGAATTACTGCCTCGCAAAACGAAACGCAGCTGTCTTTTGCGAGCAAGTGCTCATGTTGCAATTTAGCAATGGCTTCTTTACAGCGTTCTCGAATTTCAGTTGCCGAAGTTTTGGAATTATTTGCTGATTCTGACTCAGAAAATGATTATTTTGCCTCCAATTTATCTGATAACGATGAAGAGTATTCAGACAGTTGTTCAAACGATGAACCCGAATTACAACAAGCTTCTAATATCGACTCTAACAATTATGAATCCAACACACAAAGTTCACAGCAGTCATCCCTACAAACATTGTAAGTATTACTTTCTTTGAATGCTAGCATTGTCTGAATGTGTTTTTGATATCTAAAACCAAGCTACAGTATATATCACACAGTATGCCCAACACTTTGTTCTAAAGCTAGGGTTATTATAATTATTTCTTTGTGAAAACAAACTGATGTTATCAACCCTATTAGCCCATAAGGGTTAAAACATGAACTCAAGCTGCACAAATATAAGAAACTATTACCTACCTGGCCTATATACTAAAGTATAGATAGTTTATATACAGGGTGTATCAAAAAAAATGTCCCAAATGTAAAAATTCCGTTTTTCAGGATATTTTGCAGAATTTGACAAATTTTTGTGTTCCTAGAGATAGTTAAGACTTATCTGGTATACCTAGACCAAGTTTGGTTTTTCAGTAACAAAATTATGTTACCGGGGGGGTGGTTCCTTTCCACTGATATTGAGAGGCCTTGCGCGCGAAAATGTGAAGGTGAAATTGAGATATTATTTCGCTGTCTAAAAGTAGGAAAGCTTTTTAATAAACTGTCAAAGTTTCAGGAAAAATAATGCATACTGGGAGCAACGCGCGAGCCCTAAAGATGACAAATATTTGATTGCGCGCAGTGGATTAAATGCATCGTTGATTTTAGCGTGACCGATCTCGTACAAGGTGGGCAAATGAATAAATTAAAGCGAGAAACTGAACTCAAAAACAAAGCGATTTATTCGTGATGTTAATCCTCAGCATGTCCACCATTTCATTCTAAGCAAACTGCGGCTTGTCTGAACATACTAAACACTGAACAGCAAACCATTTGTCTGTCCATTCGCCTAGATTTGCCAGTAGTAGCGTAGGCGATTTGCAAGAAAGAATTTCGAATGAAATGGATAATTTGAGGCAGGACAGACAAATGTGGTTCGCCGTTCAGTGTTTACCATGCTTAGACGAGCCGCAGTTTGCTTAGAAAGAAATGGTAGAAATGTTGAGGATTAACATCAAGAATAAAAATCTTGTTATTAAATCGCTTCGTCTTCTTGTTCAGTCTCTCGCTTTAATTTATTCATTTGCACAGCCTTGCATGAGATCGGTCACGCTAAAATCAACCATGCATTTAATCCACCGTGCGCGCAATGAAATATTTGTCACTTTTAGGGGCCGCGCGTTGCTCCCAGTTTGCATTATTTTTCCTGAAACTTTGACAGTTTATTAAAAAGCTTTCCTACTTTTAGACAGCTAAATAATATCTCAATTTCAGCTTCACATTTTCACGCGCAAGCCCTCTCAATATCAGTGGAAAGGAACCACCCCCCCCCGGTAACATAATTTTGTAAATGAAAAACAAAACTTGGCCTAGGTATACCAGATAAGTCTTAACTATTTCTAGGAACACAAAAAATTGCCAAATTCTGCAAAATATCCTGAAAAACGGAAATTTTACATTTGGGACATTTTTTTTGATACACCCTGTATAGGTCAAACAACACAGTCTGTTGGTATGTAAATAATATACTAGTTTCTATGTTTATATTATATACTTTATACTAATGTTGATGTATATATACTACATATGATATACTTATATACTAATGTTCATTCTTGCCCACAGGTCAGTTCTCCTGCAACAGTGCAAACTGGTAATCGTGGTATAGGCCGGGCAAGGGGGGTGAATCAAAACCAATGAAGACCAGCACCGGTTGAAAGTAATTGGCGGGCAGATAACTGGCAAGCTAGAGAAATTTCTTTCACTGGCAATCCTGGTCCTTCTGCTGCCACCTCTTACTTATCTAATGATGATCCAGTCTAATTTTTTGAACTTTTCATGGACAAGGAAATTTTGGAACATATGGTAAAACAGACCAATTTATACGCTGAGCAGACCATTCATAGCCAAAAGCAGAATGGTAAACAAAAACGATGTTCCTGATCCAAAGCATGGTAACTGGTCTCTCTTGCTGAACTACAGAAAATCCTAGGTCTGATGTTTCTTACTGGGATTGTTAGCAAGCCAACACTTGAGAGTTACTGGTCAACAGACAATCTCATTGAAACTCCATTGTTTGCAAAAGTGATTGCAAGAGATAGATTTGAAGCTATTCTGTCATATCTTCATTTCAATGACAACAAGCAATGTCCGCCTGATTGTAATGATCGTCTTTACAAAGCCCGTCCGATAATTGACCATTTGCTGGAATCTGAAGCCCTATTGTGGCACAGGGAGCACCCTGAAGGAAACTGGTTGCTTTGCTTGGCAATCTGGTAAATCAAGGCCACAAACTTTTCATAGAAAATTTTTATAATTCAGTGAGTTTATTAGAAATGCTGTTACAACAAGGGACCCATACCTGTAGTACGTTGAGAGCTAATAGGAGTGAACCCCCAGCTGTACATAATGCAACTGTTGGTAACATGCAAGTTGGTGATATCAGATTTCAGCACAAAGATGATATAATGTGCCTTGCCTGGCGCGATAAGCGTGTTGTCAAGATGATTACAACCATAGGTGAGAATGATATGGTTGAAGTGACAGTGAGAAAGCGAGGAGTACCTGATGGGGTAATGATGCAAAAGCCACAGTGTATTGCTCTATACAACAAAAGCATGAGTGGTGTGGACAAACTTGACGAGTGCATTCAGTACTACCCATTCACAAGAAAATCAGTGAAATGGACGAAGAAGTTCACATTTTACCTCTTTCAGATTGCCATGTACAATGCATTTGTTATATATAAAGACAGAATTCCTGAGAGAAAGTGCAAGTCTTTGCATGACTTTATTCTTTCAGTTATTCCAACATTCATTTTGTCTGCTGTTGAAGTTGTTAGTGATACCGATTCAGATCATGATGAACAACCCCTTCCGCACCTACCAGTTAGAACCCCACGGGCCCCAGCTGGTGATCCGAACACCAGGCTGGATGGAAACATAAGAACCCATACCTTGGACCTAATTGCAGCAACCTCTAAGAAAAAGTATCCATCTCAAAAATGTTGTGTATGTCAGAAACGTGGTGAAAGGAAAGAAACCAGATATGTATGTTGCAGTTGTCATGTTCCTCTACATAAGGGTGATTGTTTTACTCACTATCACACTAAAAAACAAATATTTTTAGTAGAAGACTGAAAAAAAATATTCTACACACTCTTTTTCAATGCTTTAGCATGGCCTAAGTAAACTAATACTAATAAAAATACTCAAACTTGTGCTGCCAGCCAGTAACTCATCGCTGAGACAAAAATGTATTTTTCTCCACATTTTGAAACTTTTTGGCAATCTTTTGCAAAATGTGGTATTTTCAAATTTGTTTTATTTGTTTTTCTGTATTCAAAATATGAAGTGTATGGTACCAAAATAAAGCTGAAATATTAGGCTTTCTATTGGTAGAAATATATTTGTATAATTATATGCCAATTTTTTTTTGTGTGAGTTCAAAGTTAGTCAAATTTGGGCAAAAAGTCTGGCGGTGAGGGGTATTATATTGTGCAGAGGCTTGGCGGTCAAAGTGTTAACGCAACTCAAAGGTGAGGGAAAAGAAAACAGATGGGTTGATGGGTGACGATGGTATTCCAGTGTAGACAAAGTAATTGTGTAGACAAAAAAAATGCGATTATGTAATATAATAACTACTGTGTTTGGTAAATCTCGCATTGCAAGTGAAGCGGTGGTTTGATGCTTTTTATAAAATGAATATGAAATGATTGTAGTTGTTGAACGATTTGTCATGAAGGTCAATAGAGCTCACAGGTTTAATAATACTTATGCATTATACCTATATTAGTTCATTATGTTTGCCAAACGACACTAATGCAATTCAAACGTGGGAAAAAACCTGAACCAAACCGATGCATTGAAGGATATCACTGACATGATGAAATAAAACTGTTTAGTAAATCTCGCATTGCAATTCAAGTGAAGTGCTGGTTTGATGCTTTTTGCAAAATGAATATGAAATTATTGCAGGTGATTAAACGATTTGTCATAAAGTCAATAAAAAAAATGGATAAGATGACGTTGATGGGTGACGATGGCATCCCAGCGTATGTGTACATGAAAAAAATGCAATTAGTGTAAAAAAAGAGTGTTTTTCGATATTATGAAATGTCTGTTTGTTTTATTATCCTTATATACTATGTGTTTGTTACTTCCACAAACATTTTTTTCCTTTTCTTAATGAAAATTTTCGCGGTTTTTAAATTTTCGGTTTTTTTTCTTTCTGGCGGCGTTACTGCTGGTAGGGCGTGGTCATCATTTGTTGAAATCATACAATCTGTGAAATTACTCCATGATTATTTTCCCCTTTTTTTCATCTTTGGTTTTTTGCTGTCCACATACTTTATCCCAGTACGAGCTCTTAATGTCTGACAGTCTGATGAAAATCCACTGCTTTTAAATTATCCGGGTGGCAGAATTTGAACTGTTTCACTTTATCTAGTTCTCCCTGTTTTGCAATAATGCTACCTTTAATACCGTATTTTTTTGAAAAAATTTTTTCGTTGATCTCATGTTCACAATCTTTCATTGTGATTGGGAAGTATGTTTGAATGCATAAATTGATGAGGTAATTTTCAGCTTCTTTGTATGCGACTAGATAATTTTGTTGAAGAATGATAGATATGTCTCGTGTTTTTGTAGGAAGATTTGTTTTATTTCTTCTATATATTCCTTTTTTTCGCATTGCATTTGTAAAAAGAAGTATTCAAATTCCCCTTCGTCTTCGCGAAATGAAATCATAGGATCACACATTGTAATATAAAGATTTATCAAAAGAGTAATGATATGAAGTTATTATTATATGTACAACTTGATATTTTTTTACAACTTTTTTCTCTAATTGGTTTGTTTTTAGTTCAATTTGGTGTCTCACATAATTTATACCTTGATTGATGTTGTATATTGCTTTAAGTATCTTTTTTTTCATCTCGAAGTTTGCAGGAGAGATTTGCAATTGCTGAGAAAGAACATTGATCGTACACTAATATCGGGTAATTATTTCTACTTTGCGATTAGACTTTGGCTGGGTTTTTTTTGTATACCCTTTGGTTGAGCACAAACGAAGTTCGTGTTCAGTGAATTCCGCTTTTATTTTTTTTAATTATTTGTTTAACTTGTTTGATTCCATTTTCTCGTTTTCATCTTATTCTTCATGTTTGTCATCAGAATCACTTATTTCTGCAAAAAGACATTCTAGACCGTTTTCACTATTATTTTCATCCGAATGTTTTTCTATAGATTGCTTCATCGCAACAATGTTTTTGCCGCTTCCCTCTCCATGGAATGCTTGTGAGAGAAGATCAGATTGAATTGTGCCATAGTTGATCTCTCCTTTGGTGTTGGATCCATCGCTATCACTTGATTTGGGGTTGGATTTTGACCTGGTTAATTTGAGGTAAGTAGGGGTGGTATTGTTTGCGGTGATAAAAGTGTGTGATTTGAAAGGAGAGGGGACGAGGAAGGAAGCGAAATTGGTGAGTTTAGAAAGGATATATTGTTGAATTGTTGCAGATGTTGAATTTCGTGTGTTTTTTCTTGCAGAGGTTGAGTTGATGGTAGGGGAATTTCTTGCAGTTCTTGCATTTTACTTTTGGTATATACTCTAAATTCTTTCCATAATTTTAAAAGGGTCGATGTTTCCAATTGTTGGTTGTGCAGTAGAATGTGCCAGGGGCGGATCCAGCATAATTGGTGACTGATGCTAAAAAGCTAAGATTTCACCCGTAAGGGGGGGTGCAGGAGGGAAGGAAAATTTTGAAATTAGATCATCGGAAATGCGATTTCCAGCGTTCTGAGCGAAGTTTTAATGCAAATTGTATATCGAAAAAATGACCGACTTTTAAGGAAATGTTATGAAATATTTTAGTTTATTACCTAGATAAACTAAAATATTTCACTATTATGATCACAAAACATAACATTTATGTTTTGTCTAATTACAAACGAAATATAATTGAACTTACCTCTTCTCCACAACAACACAAATAAACAGTCAGAGTACATACTGTACCTATATACACCAACTTCTGCCGTTTATTCCGCGAATTGTGGAATTGTAATGGAAGAAGAGGCATAACCAAATTTTTACTGCACATATTAAAAGCAGTGAAAACCTGACCATACCCCCACTGCCATGTTGGGCGAATTGGCATTAGTGGCAGGACATCATGTGGTATAACAACGGAATCAATAAATTCAATGCAGGCACTGGAAAATGTTCCAATTTAAGTTTGAAGATTAGGCGATGTTCTCCAAGACTCCAACAGCAGCGTGATAAAGCACAGATATTCAATGCAGTTCACTTGAAAAGGTTTCAATCTAGGTTGATTTTATAAAGTTAAGTTTTAAGACTTGGCTATGTTCTTCAACAGCAGCAGGATAAAGTATAGATATTCAATGCAGTTCACTTGAAAATGTTCCAATTTAGGTCGATTTTATAAAGTTAAGTTTTAAGATTAGGCGATGTTCCCCAAGAGCAGCAGGATAAAGTGTACATATTCAATGCAGTGTTTAATTTCAGGTATGCTTCTCTTCATTATCATCAAATATGTCCAAAAACTGCATTTGGGTAGGATTTTGTCTCGCAAAAGAATTGATCACTTTGTCAAGGTTGACACCGAGGTCATGCATATCAAGGCTAACCCATTCAATCTCTCATTTGTCATTGTGCCCCTTAACCATGTCTTCATGCGACGCAAAGCCGAGACGGAACGCTCGCATTCACAGGTGGTGACAGGTATAACTGCTATTATTTTAAGAAAAACAAAAATGTTTGGAAATGCAAGTTCATTGCAGTTTCTTAAAGTATCGGCAATGTTATCGTATTCCACTTTTTCGTGCCCTTTCTTCCAACTGGTTTCACGACTCTAACTCTGCATGGATTGCCCTAAAGTTAGGCATATCATTGCGATAAGCAGACACAAATTTCATGAACTCGGTCTTCCAATTTATTCCCTTACAATGAAAAAAATTGCGATGAAGGATATAAAACCATTGTAGAGGTTGCACATTTCTGAAGGAAACCGATATTCAATCTCCGTGATGACGTGATCAATAAGTGGAATGGTTACTGTTAATCTGTTGTAATCACATGCTGTACTGGTAGGATGATTATCACATTTCGTTTGAGCTTTACATACCCGGGGATAACACTCAGCCACATCGAGGTTATTAGCTAATTCCAACAGCTTGTTGTAGTATTCATTGTGGAATAAATCAACAGAGGCACGTAGTTTTGCCATTTCATCCTTTAAAAGATTAATCTGTTTTATAGATTCCACAATATCGATTTTTTTCTTTTGTAATTGGACCGTCAATGACAAAGTATGATCCAGAACATGTTGGGTGATAACAAGAGCCGCCATAAATTCAAATTTCTCCACGTTACGAAAACGAGACTGTGCGTCACTAGCTGATCTGGGAAATGGCTCTTCCTGCGATCCTCCAAACTGCATAAAATTGAGTGTTTCGTAGATAACTTCAAATGCATCCAGAAAACCATCAAGGGAAGTTATTTGTTCTACCCACCGTGTCGTGGAAGGCTTTGCGAGCTTGTTACGGGTTAAACCAAACTCTTTCATCTTTTTACTTAGATACTGCGAGCGGATAGGGGAACTGCTAAAAAAGCTGGCGATCTTTTGTACCTGACTCAACATATTTTTCACTGGGAGAATTGAACACGCTTTGGCAACAATAAGGTTTAAACGATGACTGGAACAATGAACATACAGTGCCTTCGGGTTTTTCTCTAATATTCTCCCAGAAACACCTTTTACCTGGCTGGACATAGCACTAGCACCGTCATATCCCTGGCCTCGACAATTTGGAAGGGGAAGCCTGACATCTTCAAGTGTACCTTCAACATTATTTGCCAATGCGAGACCAGTCATACCTTCTTGGCAGTCGACAAACCTAATGAATCTTTTGTTGATTTCTTTATCACCGTCAACATACCGCAAAAAGATTGGCATTTGTTCCTTGTTACCACAATCAGCTGCCTCATCTGTGAGAACCGAGTAAAATGGAGAATTGCTGTTGTTTATCTCCGAAATAATTTGGCTTTCGATTTGTTTAGCAGAGATCTTGACCAGCTTATTTTGTATAGTCTTGGAGCGGTACGTGGCATTCTTCTTTGCATTCTTAAAATGATCGGCAAGAACCTTATCACCACCACTAACTCTGTAATTTAAAAACGCCTGAAAATTGCCCGGATTGGTGGAAGAGTAATGCTGCGAATCATCTCGATGTCCTCTCAAAGCAATATTTTGTCGGCCAGCCAGAACAACTGTCTCAACTATTGCACATAATATCTTTCTATTATAAGCAATTCGCTCACTTCTCAAGTTGTCAGCCTCCTCATCTATTCCTTTCGTTTCCCCCGACATTACGCTGTTGAAGTGTGTCAACCTTAGCATGGAATCGCGATGAAATATAGAATGTTTGTCGTGGTCGTCAAGTCTTTTTGCAGCACTTTGCCAGTTAGTTAATGGCTCCTTAAAAAGATTGGTAAGCTTCGAGCCATTATCACCTACTTCTTTACCAAAAAGCACACAACAACGCACAGGCAAAATGCACCGTCATAAAGCCTAAAATAGCACAACCACGACCAGCGACTGAACCACTGAAAAGAAAACTTGCGGCAATTTGGCTTCATTGGGTTAGAACCAAACTCAGGAAAAGGGAAAATATATGAAGAAGGTGGACGCCAATGATTCTGTATTATATTAAATTTAGTATCATCATTAATCTCATTGGCAGTCCCAACAAAGTTGCCAATGGCTAAAGGATCAACATCACCAGAGTTTTCAACTTTTAATTTTTTGCAAAATGCCTGTTCACCAAGATCATGCAAACGCTTAACTGGCCCTAAAATGACCAAGATATGACCAGATTCAGTCTTTCTTTCAAGTATTAATAAATGATAATGAAATGGTAAAACCTGTTACATTTCACATTGCACAATATGGCTAGGGAAGGGCAGTTTATCATATCACACCTTTACCTATAATGGATTTGGTCATTACTGTAATCTATATTATTACTGTACATGAAAATACATACCACTTTTTGGTTTTCCTGCTGCTGTTGGAGAATTTGAACTCAATTTTCCTGCTGTTAAAAATTTGTCCAGACCAAACATTTTCTGGTTCATTCCAGTATCCACACATATTTTAAATTTTAAATACATTAGGTAGTGTACATACTTGCCATAACCCACTAAGTCCTGATACAATACACTACATGTCTGTGTTGTGTACTTGTATACAATGAAAATAATCCTAACCTGTATCCAATAATCCATCTTTTTTGACTACCACTTTCTCAGCCCCTGTCAAATAATGCAGCCCATTTAAAATTTACCATAATGTCACTGAATCAGTCTAAGGAGAGTGGGAGACATTCATGATAGGAAGGCATGTAGGAGTTTCTTAGATTTGTCAAAGGCATACCTTGAGAGACTGTATCTCCTTTCCCTGATTTTTTCAGAAGATCAGTAATTTTAGGTTGCCCCTTGGAAACTTTGTTCTGTTGCGAGACCTCAGTTTTAGCATTACTTCCTCTGGGTTGAAATTGAATAAGTGGGACAAAATGGTTTGGTTGAAAGGTTGTATCCAAACCAGGAAGAGTCGTAATACCATCAGTTGACCACAAAAAGATGAGTTGGACATCTTCAACAGATTTTCCTTTAAATAATGCATGTACTGCTCTTGGAGAGATTTTGCCAATCAAAAACTTAGAATACTTAGTCTCTTTGCCAATATTCTCTGGGTAAACAGTGGTGATGTCCATTCCAGTCACAGTTGCCAAAGCATACATACAGAAAAGGGAAGAAAAGGAACCATTCACTGCATTCCGTAATGCCTCTCGAGTAACAACTAGAGCTCTAGTAGAAGGATCCAATCTGTCATAACCATCAGCCAAAGCACCATCAGAAGTAGTAGTAGAATTCTCAGTATGAAAGATATGAGACTTGACTTCTCTTTAACATAAGGATGGAATGCATAAAACTGTTGATTGGTGAATAGCTCTATGCTGGTCAAGTCTCGCAATAAGCACCAGAGGTCCTCTTTTCCACAGAGCAGTTTTGATCAGGCTCTGTAAAGGCAATTACCATCACCTCTAGTTCTAGGAAAATTTTAATAATTATTGAACCACTGAAGTCAGTTTTCAAACATACAGTTATGACATTGGCCTATCTGAACCTTCCCCTTAAACTACAGGGTAACAGAGGGTAAACCCCCTGTAAATCCCCTTAAACTACAGGGTAATAGCAGCAATATGTAGTATTAGGTTATTAGCTAAGCTCAAGGCAGAGGGCTCAAGCATATGCCCTATTTTAGTATTTGTAATATGTAAATTTATGCAAATTTCAGCATTTCACAGAATGCTATTATTTGCAAGTATGAATGAAATAATGACAAAGTTAACACCCAATTGCCAAAACTTACTTCAGTGCTCGCAGTTCGCCACTTTGCCACACATTTGTAATATGTCTGGGAACAATTAGCTCAGCATAAAGATCCCTTACATGTGTTCCACTTCGAAATGGATCCCATTTTTTTGCTTGTAAAATTAACGAAGAAGATTTCATCTCACATTTCCTTCTTACTGCTTTGATTTTGCCAGCTTTATTATCTTGAAACAACGAACAAAGATCATATTTTATTTGCATACTTTCCGCCATGATGACTCAAGTAACATGTGTACAATGTCGCATGCAAAGTATTGCGATTGTCCACGCATTATGGATTTGCATTATGAAATTTTCATTTAAAATTTCAAACATTGTCTCGCTTTGCCTTGTTTGGATTTATTAACAATCATTTTTAGTTTTTTACGAATTTTAGGAGAGTGTAACCTGAAAAGAGAGTAAATAATATACTTTATTAGAGATTTTTAGAAAATTCCGTATTTATTGCAATTTTCCATATTTAGTGTTCAATTATTATGCTTGTGAATGCTTATTATGCATCACCCCTGCAATGTGCCATGTTGCGAATGAAGAAAAATTTTGGATTTTTTTCCTATGAAATGATAAGTCCCGCCCCTTTTCATAAAAAAGTTACAAAATATTTTGTGGCGGAATAATTGAGTTTTTTAATTTTTTAACGATGCGGAATTAGATAAATTTTTTTTGTCCTAGTTAATTAGATAATTTTTTAGTGCAATGAATGATATGGTGTGTTCTTGAAGAATTATGTTGAAACGATGTGTATAATAGGATATTCTATTTGACTGAGTTAAATTGATTTTTTAGCGTGATGAATGATATGGTCTGTTCTCGAAGAATAATGTTGATGCATGAATATGGTATCAATAAAATGCGGAAAGAAGGAAAGTTATTCCAGATGGCGGCGGGAAACGTCTATTCTTTATAGGTGTTCGGGATTTTTAGAGGAGCAGAAAAGTCTATGACATTTACAGTTTTTACTACTCTTCTTCCGGTTATTACCCTGTGAAAGCACCTAATATATATTATGGTAGTTTAGATTATGCTTATTTTCTCGAAGTGGGATTCCCTTTCCATTTTTACGCGAGGATGAGAGCGTATTCCATTTTGTGAAATTCCAGATCGTGATTTCCGAATTGAGTTTTTAAGGGCTGTTGAAGAACGTTGAATTAAAAAAGATATTGATTCTTGTTTTGAATGTTTTAGAATGGGATTGTGTGATTTTAATAAGTTGTAAAATTGTTTGAGTATGAGAATAATCAATGTTTGAAGTTGAAAGAAAAAATTATTGTCTACTCCTGTTCAGCTTTACATACATATTTTCGGTATTTTCCGTTTACGGTGGAGTTAACTTTTTTTTGTGATAAAATTCAAATTAATTCTTCTACATATTTGTACCGATTGTTTATCAAACATCAATGGAACAATCACTTTACCTATGAGGATGGATTTTATCTTCAAAATGATCATTTTTGCATTAATGAAAGATTTCATAGAGTATATTTAATGTGGAAAGAAAGATTTGGAAATTCGGGGTATTTAGCTTTGGAAACAAGTGTTAGTCGCTTATTTGATGGGGAGCTTTTTATTGTGAAGATCTAAAAACTGACAAAGATTACCCTTGCAATTATGAAATTACGCAGACAATGTTAGATTTGTCATTTACATGTTGTCGCTAAGAAAACTTTAAAATGTAAAACTTGTAATGTTATAAATCGAAAAAAAAGGGAAAATGATTTTCTTTTTGTTTGGTTCAACATAAAGCAGATTAATGGAAGACATTATTTTGAGTATGGTACTTGTGAATGAAAAGGCAGGAACATGTTGTCCTAAAAGGTTATGATACGCTCGAGAATTAAATGATAGGGTAAACAATTAATTTTTGTGAACATATTTATAAAAATACTCAGTAGTTCAACTTAAAGACATTAATGAAAGCAAAGAAGAAATTTTAAAGAGAGTGACACATATTATAGATATTGATGGGTGGAGAATTAGTGAAAGGTATCTTTATGCTAAGGTCAGCATTTTTTCTGTTCATGATATGATTTGTCATACTTATTATGTTTATCACCCTGGTGTTTTTTTCAAGTGATCATGATTTTTCATCAGTTTTATATGTTTCAAAAAGAATACATGGTTTACCATTTTTAAGAAAAAAGTATTCTTATTCTGATATTACTCAGCATGAATTTCATAATATTTTTAAACGGAATTTTTCAGATGATAAATTTGTTTTTGCTTTTAAGGGTGGGCATATTGAAAAGGATTTATGTTCTTCTTATTCTCTTGAATGCATTAATCTTGAACTGTTTGGTCGTGCAAAATATGAAAAGCAATTACAAATTTTTGAAATGAACTGTTCTCTATTTGAGGTTTATTGTTTTACTTTATTTGTATTTAATGAACTTCAAAGGGTTGATAAATTTGAAAAGATAAAAGGGTTATATGTTCAAGGTGATTGATTGTCCAGGTATACATTTTGAGGAGAAATGAGTGGAAAATGCATGTATAAGTTAGTTGATCCTGCATTAATTTATTTGAGACCATTGGATAAATATATGAAAAAAAGCAATTGCATCATTATTTTGATCTTTGTGTTTATGCATTACCCCTTTATTTTGGGTAGAAAGAGGATGATTTTGAAAGAAAAGTTTGTGAAATTCAAAGCAGTAACGAAGTTCAAGGATTTGTATCATTTACTCAAGTTGGAAATTTTGAATATTGGATAAATAAAATTGAAAATTATGAAAATTACAGTTTGTTCTTGTTTGCAGTTATAAAAATTTTAAAAAATGCGTTATGTTTTTTCCCTTTCATATTTTTTCAAACGAACATATTGAAAAAGTTATATCGATTAAACCTATTTCAAAATACATTTTTTATGAAAATTTGGATTCATATTCTTTTCCTTTAGATGCAACATTTAAAATT